GTAAATAGATTTCCTTTTCCTCTAGTGGCTTTGAGAGAGGCAGTGCAGCATGAGCTTAAAGATGAAGGCTCTCGAAAGGCAGCCACGTGAGGACTGTGTCATCCAAATTCTGTGGCCTCAGTTATACCCCTGATTCCTCCTCTGTAACCTGTGATTAATATCAGTGTCTGTCTCATGGGATTCTGCATGTGAAGGGCTTAACTCATATGGTAAGCACCCCTATAAACATTCATTTTTATTATCTGTTAGGTTTCCTAAGCATGACAGTCCATCAGGAAATCCTGGCACACTTATTCCAGAAGCGGAGTGTAGCATCATTCACTCTCAAATTCCGGTTCTCATCCTTACCTCTCTAAGTCGAGCCCCACTCAAAGCTACTGGCACACGTATCCTGTAAAATACAGTAGACTAGATTTGGTTCCATTTAAAAACGGTAGTAGTAACTTCACGGATATTTTCTCTTCTTAAAAAGCTACATTGAAAGTATTTTCTGTGATTCATATTCTTTTTGAGGGTTCATGGTGTGGGTTTCAGTAAGTGATGGGTAAAGGATACCAAAAGTGATCAAGAAAAAAATGAGTGACAAAACAAATAAACACAAGCTGTCATTAGGGATTGCTATTCCACACCAGTCCTGGTGTGTACTACTTTTTATGGATTAATTTAGTTTACAGATTATTCTGTGCTTGTTTATTATCTCCTTTAGTGGTATATGATTATAGCAGAGGAAATGCAATCACATTTTCTTTCCGCTACTCCCTGTGGAGACCAGTCATGCTCTGCATTGACCCCTTTACGTGTGACGGGACACCGCCATCTGAGAGAGAGCATGAGGTCTTGGAAGCTAGGTGGTGCCATACAGTGAACGTGGTTGCTCCGTCCATCGGGGCAGCTCGTTTCAGCTCTATGACTATAGTAAATACTTAAATAAAGACATACTTTCAAATGTTCTAAAAGTCACTAAATGTTTGCAAAAAGGTAGTATAAGGATTAAGGATCAAAAGCAAAAACCTGTGTGCCTTGGTTTACTCACTTGCATATTTACATTACTGGAATGCTAATTTTGTTTAAGCTCTCAGCTTTTTCTTGCACAGCATAGATGTTGACAAAAAGCCTGTTTTCTATCTGTATATAAGTCAACCTGTAAATAAAACCTGAAAAAAAAATGTTTGTTTTGGAATGTTTTAAAAAATGGTACAAGCTGAGAATTCAAGGCTGTTTATATTGCATCTTAAAAACATTTCTGTGTGCTACACATCTTTTTAAGATTACTTTTTTTTTTTTTTTTGCCTTGATAACAGCAGTCATTTTATGGTTAGCATAGGCTGCCATTTTTCTTTGCAAATTTGGTTTGTTTTAAATATTTTTATTGTTCCCCTTTTCTTATAAAACCAAGATTCATAATCTTTGTTTTGCTTTTTTTTTTTTTTGGTCTTTGATATGCTTTTCTGAAGTATGTTGCTCAGAACAGTAATTTAATTAGATATCCCTCAAGAATGAATCTTAGAGTCAAATATGTTTGGAAAGTGCTTCATGGAATATGCATTTAAGAGGTTCACAGTGTATATTAAAATAAAAAGATTTATGTATGTATATGAGAAGAATAAAATTTATAAGTTCTCAAGTAATGGAACATTAAATTTTGCATTATCAAGCATTTCCTAACATTTTTTGATCTCGGATAACACTCCTCTTCCCCATACCTAGGGACGATACTTAGAATATTTTAACAGCCAGTGCATTGGCTCACCAGCCTGCCTGCTGCTCAACGGTCTGTCTCTCATCTGCTCTTTCAAAGCCCAGATCCCTAAGGGGCTGCAGTTCCCACCATTGACCATACAAGGATAACTGGAAGCATCTGTTAGCTGGGAAGGGGAGTTTGCAGATGGGCACCAGGAATTGCTTTCCAGGGTGTGGTGCCTTCTCCAAGGTCACTGTCTCCCCCACTGGGGCTCAGGCTGATAGGCATAGGCACCAACCAATCAGAGCAGGTGCTCCTCTTGGTGCTGAGTGAATTTCTTGAGGACCTCTGCTGTGCCAACCTTCAATCTTTAGGTTGCTGGACTGTGATGAAATCTAGGAGGTCTCCAAGGGAGAGGACCATGTGGTAAGACTGGCAGAAGTGCTATTCGGGGAACTTAGCACAGTAACTTCTTACCAACTGGCCTGCAAAAATTAAATATTTTCGCTTCTGTCCCCTTGAATCCATGTATTCTGGCTGACTTTTAGTATTACCCATGATGCATGTAATACTCTATCTAATTCTAATTTCGTGGGACAACTTTGGACAACTGCTAGTCTGTGCCATTTTGAGCATGTGAAAATGCATCATTTTTTCCCTCTCTAATAATTATTACAATGCCATAATGTTTAAACATGTAGTTCTGCTGAACTGAGAATTAAATTTTTATTCAGTTTCTGAGCTTTGAAAAATCAAGGGGCAAGAGACAGCATTAAACAATGGTGGCAGACACCTTGAAGGATCTGGACTGGTGACGTTGTAATAAGGGGAAAGTATCCAATAACATATTGTAAGCTCTCTGAGAAAAATGTTACAAATGTATGTCTGAGCTGGTCACTCTATTATCATCCTGTCACTGAAATTTCAGCTAAACACACACACATACACATACACACAAGTGAGAGTGATTCTGTGTAGAATCCTCATTAGAGGATTAGAATCCTTGTAGAGTTTAATTTTTTTATGTGAGCATACTCATTGATCAAGGATCAAGTTGATAGACATGATAAGAAACTAATTATTACCCCCCCTGTAGATTAGTTTCTACTTCTCTAGCCTCCATTCTGATTATCCCACTAGGAAAATTAAGCCATTCTCTCATCTCTGACATGGTCCTGCTGATGTCCACATATGGCTGGACAGCATCTGCCAGTGGAGCAGTCTTCACACACTCTGTCCTCCTCCCATTACCGCCCCCCCGCCCCCCCAATAGATTTTTGCATCTATTTATTTGTTCTTGAACTTGTAAATATTGTTTAGAATAAAAATTAGAAAAAGTTACCCATTAAAGGACCTAGAGAAAGGCTAGTGAAATTTCAGAGACAAGGAGGTCTTAGGAAGCAGAGGAAGTTGATCTAGTAAGGCCAGGGTAGGAGTAGGGGAAAAATATGTCAAACACCAAGATTCCACTGAGTGAAGAAAGAAGTCTCAGGTATTCCTTAGAAAGCTGGAGGTAATTTCACATCAGCATGAATTTTGGGGGGGGTGGTTAATATGGAAGGAGGATCTAAAGAGGTTTGTTGTGGTTCATGGATAAGATCTGTGAGTTTTGAATGCTCTTCAAATATTCTTGGCTATCAAACCACTGTTTGTTGGATTGGGATAGAGCACAGTCTGGTCCAGAAGAAAGCCAGTTATATATTGGGTGATGCAAGTTGCCCTCTAGTTCTCTTTCCTAAAACCCTACCCATTTTCCATTTTCAAGGGCAATAGTTCTTGAAGTTTTACATAATACCCCAGTCTTCACTGATTTGCAGCATCCCCTAAATTCTATAAAGTGTTGACTATTATCTAATTATATATAATTGATTATGTAATTTATAATATAGTTTATTATATAGTTATATATTATCTATATATATATACAAATTTTAGGGGGAAAATGCCCTGGATCTCCAGCCAGATTAAATTCTTAATCCCTTAATTGCAGGATCGCACGTGATGCAGCTTTCTTGGTCCAGGGTAGCTTCTTAATGCACAGTGATGAGGCTGTTAACACAAACTTCTTCTACGCAATCTTTATGGCTTGTAGGAATTTGTACTTTGACCACTATCAGGAATGAATTGAAATGGTTACATTTTTGTGTTTCTATTTAAACCAAGTGTATTTTCTAAGCCTTGCTAATTTTAATCTATAGCATTGAACTTAACACATTATAGCCTTATATTTCTGCCTCTCAAATAAAGTTGTCAGATTTTTGAGAGTGGAGGCAATGTGTTGTATCCTGGCACACGGCACAGGGTCTGGCACATTTTAGGACGTTCTATAAATGTAAATGAATAAATGAATTGGGATCTCCTATATGTAAAAAGAAGGCTAAGAGGAAATTGTATGTTTCCTTTAAATTGAAACAAACAAAAAGGACAGGAAAACTGTGGTATAGTGTAAATAACACAGGGTTTAGGGTCAGAACAGCTGTATTCAAATGCTCACTGGCAATTTATCAGCTGTTTTCTTCGAATAGGTCACTTAAGTTCTGTCAGCTACTTTCTTCAAATACAGATAATGTTTCCTCCTGCACATTGTTGTCATGTTGATCTAATGAGATTACAATTCTGAAATATGTAATAAGCTTTGATAGAGACGGTGATTAAAGCCTGTTGATTTAGTCAGAATTAATAAGTTATTGACCAAGGGCTAGTTAAAGATGAGAGAATCTTCAAAAAAGATAGGGTTAGTGCCAAGAGGTAATGTCTTCCCAACTCCAGGTTGCTTAACACCAGAAAAGGCCACTGAGTAAGACTGTGAAATTTCTTTATTATTAAGATGTTTTCTTACTCTTAAGTAATAGGAAAAGACTGAATGACCTTTGAAGGTACTGACCCACCATAGATTCTATGACTCATGAAGGGAAACGCAATTTGTGGATAAATCAGGAGAACCTGCTTTTCCACCGTGCCAAAGATAAAGAGAAGGTTTGAAAATGTCAAATCTACATAAAAACTCTTTATTTTTGTGGTCAGTTCAAGAGACACCCTCATCCCTTCATCTTTTAAAATTAACCACATCCTTTATGCAGTGTATGTACATGAAGGAGCAGTAAAGAGATGGAGTTTTAATTTTTACCAATTCAATTTAAATGCAAATGTTAACCGCTCACACGATGCTACTGTGTACATAATTAGGCATCATTATATACTACATGAATCATCTAGAAACCTCCCGAGAGCCATTCTACTATGTAAAACATGCATCATACTGACAGGCAGCCAAATGACGTATACATCTGTCCTCATTAATACTCCTTTTGAATTATAGGTCAACTGATTATGGAACGACTTACGAGAAGCTGAATGATAAAGTTGGGCTGAAAACAATTCTAAGCTATCTCTACGTGTGTCCTACCAACAAGCGTAAGGTAAGACATGTATATTCAGCATGCTGCCTCTTCATGATGTGACTTCTGTCTTGGTTGGCTAACCTCTCTAGCTACGTAAAACTCCATTACAGTTAAGCCAGGATTAGAGGTGTAGAGATGAGCTGATGGATGTTAAGGTGATAAAATGTATGACTCATAATTTTGAGGGCAACAGCTGTGAATGTAAGAGGGTGAGAGGTAGGTATATCATTACAGTTTCTGGAAGGCAGCTCCAAGGAATGGGTCTCCTTGAATGGATTCTGTCTTGTAAGAGCTCCAACTAGTCAGTCACAAGAATCAGAATGAGCCTTGACAAGATGGAGGAGAGGGTGGGGTTTTCACTGGAAGTCTCCCTGTTTTCCCTTGACATGAATAAATAGATTAACTAGAATTGGGGTGAACGTGTCCTCCTGGAGCATGTTGGCTATCTCATTTCCAAAGTTTATTCAGCCTGCACACAAATGACAGGATGGAGACGCTGCTGGAAGGAACCTTGGAGATCATCATACACTGCACCCTAATTTTATAGATGAGAAAATTAAGGTTCAGTGAAAGGTAAGGCTTTGCCTCATTGCAGAGTTACGAGCGCAACCGGAACTAGGATTCAGGTTTCTTGGTTGGCAGTCATACTATCTCTGCTACATTATACTGCTCCTAGTAAGAGGGTTTATCTCTTCTTCAGAGGGAAGTATTATTTTCTCAAGGAAGATGAGATTTGCTTTTAAGTGAAAAAGACTTACTTGTCTTAGGAGGAGAATGGCGCTACATCCATTCTTTAGTTTTTATAAGCTTGCATTGTGAGATTCTGAATTCTTTTTTTTTTTAAGATTTTATTTATTTATTTGACAGACAGAGATCACAAGTAGGCAGAGAGGCAGGCGGTGGTGGGGGAGGGAAGCAGGCTCCCCACTGAGCAGAGAGCCGGATGCAGGGCTCCACCCCAGGACCCTGGGACCATGACCTGAGCCAAAGGCAGAGGCCCAACCCACTGAGCCACCCAGGTGCCCCGAGATTCTGAATTCTGACATACAATTTCTAAGTGTTGTGTGAATTGCATGAAATAATAGTATGCATCAGGAAAGAGAAAATCGTTGTTCATTAGTATGTCCTAAGTCTTGTTCTTCTATGACTATGGCAGTGATGTCCAGGTTCTCAATCCAGATCTGTCAGTAGTTACTGTCTGTGACCTTCGGTAAGTATTTCATTTTGTAACCTTAACTCTGGGCGGTGGATGAGAATATCTCTGAACGGTCATTTCCTTAACTCCAGCAGCACATCCAAAGCACTAGGGGATTCCCACATGTGCCCTCTCGGCCCCATTTGCTCCGGATTAGGGCTCAGGTAACTGTACCTTGAGCAAGCTCCCCAGATGTTTCTTATATGTATCGAGGATTAAGAATTGCTTATGCAAAGTGTAATGTTCCCTCTGGCCCTAAATGTTTCAAGTCCCTCAGTAGAAGCAGCATAACTCAGCGGCTGTGCATAGACTCTGATGTCAGACGGCGTGCGTGAAAACCCAGCTAAACCAGTTAACACATGTATAACTGTGGTGATTTACTTAACCTCTCCAAGCAGTGTCATCGAATTTAAAATAGGGATCATTGTAATTCCTACTCATGTGAAAAGTTGTAACTGTTATCTGGAATAAGGCTTTTTAAGTATGTGGCACAGAATAGCTAAGGCTCATTGATGTTTTCTCTTTATTTTTTTCTCATCTGCCTCCTCCTCTTTCATGTCATTATTAGAAGGAATAGTAATGATTATCCTCCCTAAATAGCAATGTTTAGTAGAACTTTCTGTAATGATAGAAATGTTCCTTTAAGCTGTCCAGTACCTTAGACATTAACGACTTGTGGCTATTGAGTATTTGAAAGATAGATGAGGAACTCGATTTCATTTATTTATTTATTTATTTATTTTTGAAAAGATTGTATTTATTTATTTGATGGAGAGACATAGTGAGAGAGGGAACACAGGCAGTAGGAGTGGGAGAGGGAGAAGCATGCCTCCGCTGAGCAGGGAGCCCGATGTGGGGTTCGATCCAAGACTCTGGGATCATGACCTGAGCCGAAGGCAGATGCTTAATGACTGAGTTACGCAGGTGCCCTGAAGCACTGGATTTTAAATCTAATTTAACTTTAATTAACTTCAATGTAAATAGCCACCTGTGGCTGATGGCCCCAGTATCAGACAGCATAGTTTGATAATGTCCACCTCACAAATGTAGAGATACACGCTGAACATTCCTGTCTTCCCTTTACTGGCTAATTACTGGTCCATCATCAGCAATTGCATTTAAATAATTTGACCTGCTGCATACCGTTCTAAGTTGAGGACCTGAATTTATACTCTTTAGTTTTATAGTTTGATTTAGTTATGTTTTTTAGCTTTGAATCAATTCTTAAATTCCATATTGATTTTTCTTCTAGTTTCACATTTTCAGTAAATTTCATTTAACAAATCAAGCTGTAGGGCTCCTGGGTGGCTCAGTTGGTTAAGCAACTGCCTTCAGCTCAGGTCGTGATCCTGGAGTCCCGGGATCGAGTCCCGCATCGGGCTCCCAGATCTGTGGGGAGTCTGCTTCTCCCTCTGACCTTTCTAACCCTCTCATGCTCTCTCTCAAATAAATAAGTAAAAAATCTTCAAAAAAAACAATCAATCAATCTGTAGGTATCGTAGGCTACAAAGAGAAATAAGTCAACATTCCACCCTCAAAAGTCCTGCATTCTAGTAATAAATGCAATAGGACTTTCTGTCATTGAAGGGTCCTTTGACTCCACTGCCACCTAACAGATGACTTTGGGTGAGACATTTACATTTACATTACTTGTAAAGTGACAGAGGCAAAAACAAAGGAATTTGCAACTGGAAGAGACTTCAAAATTGTTCTTAGAATTGTTCTAAGTTAGTGATAGTCTTTGTTTTATTGATGCTGTTGGAAAGGAATATGATGAAAAAGAAAAAAAAAAAAAAAGATAAGATGCCGAACAGGGAATAGTGAGCATGGGATTTTCTATAGCAGCAGAATATGTGACTCCAAGATTGTTTGCAGGAGCAGAGCTTGAACCACGAGACTCTCAAGTCCAAATGCAGCTCCTAAGGTGGGAAGGAAAGCTTAGAGGGAGCACAGCAAGGAGCTCCATCTTCTAACCCATTCACACCAGTGGGCCAGCATCAGTCAGCCTGCGGCGTAGTCTGTAGTCTTCTGAAAGACTTTGAAAAGTCACTGGCCATGGCATTTAGCTAAAATTAAAACTTGGCAGACCCTGTTTCCAGAGAAAGAGCAGTCCTTGTCCATGGCTATGAGAGAACAGCTTTCTCTGGGCCTTCCTCCTTCCAGAAGCAGAGGTGGGCCTGAACTGTTTAAATCACAGTGTTTATGGGTGAATCTAAGTGAACCGATCTTTTCCTGTACAGATAAATGAGGCCTTCAGGGTCACTTTCTGAGATGCTGATAGATTTAAGAAATATTGGAGGACGATGAAGGTCTTTACAATGGTGCAAAATCAATAAAGTTGACATAGCAGTATATTTGTGTACAGTTTTTCTACTTATGAGGTGAATTTATCACCATGAAATATGTACTTTGGCCCCCCCAAAGGGACCTACTTGAACCAAAGAGATAGTACCTGTACGACATTTTAAAGGGTGAATATATTTCCCCCCAATCAATGAGAGTTTAGGTAAAAAAAGTAAAGAAAGAAAAAAAGAAGAAGAGAAAAGAAAAATATCAGGCTCTTTTAATTATGTAGGACAAAGGCACTCAAGTTCGCAGCAATTCTCCTAGGACTTGTGCGTTCTCCAGTGAGAAGGCAGCCTCCTTTCTGGGGTTGTATTAATTCTTCTCTGTCCCTAGGGTGCTATCCAGCAAGTTCACAGCTTTTGTACCAGATATGTCTCTCTGCTTTTCACATCAGCGGGAGCAACTGGAATCAAACCGACATCAGGGAAACTGCCTTGCCTTCCCGGAAACCTGTTTTGCCTTCACATGCTTATTGCTATTTTTAGCTGCTTGTGAGGACAAGCTCAGTTCTTCAATCAACGTGTCTCCAACAGCGGGCATGATGCCCTGGCTTTGCAGACAGCTTGTTAGGGGCATTACTGGGATCAGAGTCCAGAACAAAACAGGCCCTTATTTACAGCTTAAATGAATGATCATCCGTTGCCTGTTTCTCCGCAAGCCTGCTGTAAATCCAAGGCTTTCCTTGGATATGTCTGTTACAGTAAAATCCGTAATCTCATTGTAGGTCGGTCTAGGAAATCTTGACTAAGAGACACAGAAAGGGTGCTCCCAGGTATCATCCTAGCTCAGGCATACCCTCCTTCAACGGAGCCCTGCCCCTGGCCTCTGATAGATGAGGTAGGTCCCAAAGAACAAGGGTAAGTGACTCCTAGCGCCAGAGGAGAGGCAGGCTAGCTGTCTGTCACCACGTCTCCGAAAGAGAGCACTCCTCAACCAGCCCATGACAAATCCCAAGGCTTGTTGGTGTCAGTGGTGGTTTATTGGCTACATACCTTTAATCTCCCATGAGAAAGGATGATTTAACGTGCCCCTAGTACAAGCAGCTGGGATGTGGAGGGTGATGGAAGGAACTAATACAAATCTAACACAGAAAAACAAAATCAGTGCTTAAATCTTAGTCTCAATCTTAAATTCGCACTGAGTTTGTCTTCTGCCTAAAAAAAGAAAACTTCTTGATATTCTGGGTGTATCTGTCAGCAGTGCCTTTCCCCTCACCCCAACCAACCTTAGCTGTTCTCCCTTCACGAGGTGTGGTATGACATCTTCAAGGATTAAATAATACAAAACCCCAAGTGGAATATAATGGGGGAGAAAAGAAGAAAAAAGATGTTTTTTTGTTTTTTAAACTTGGAGCATCCACTTCATTTCGTTGTTACATCCTAGCACTCTCCGTGCACTGTGTTCTCAGCAAAGGAGAAACCTAGGAAGTATTTGCTCTGTATGCTTCCTGTGCCCCTCCATACCCCGGTTTCTTCTC